TTATTTTTCTCCCTTTTTATCCATAAATCCCCAATAATTATTTTCAAAATTATTATTTTGATAATTCATATATTGAATTTCTATATTTATTCCAAAATATGGCTAAGATAATTTTTACATATTTTTATAATTACATTTAGTATTTTTAAAGCTAAATTGCACATAATTACAATATTAGCCCTTTAAGATTTAATTATGTTTTATATGCATAAAATCGTATCCTGTATTTTTAAATTACTAATTATGTATTATAAATTATTTTAGTTTTTTTAAATTATTTTTAGAAATTATCTACTATTTCCTATAAATTAAATAGGGAAAATTGGATATTTAATTTTTAGCCAAAATTGGCTTTCAATTCTAGCCTAAATCAAACGGACCCCCAACCCAATTTAAAAACCCNACGTGTCATCGTTTTGAGGCCTTCAAGTGAACCAGCGGCAGTTCACTCGCCTCCCATGATTTCTCATGCCATTTTCCGGCCATCCATTGTTGTTCGAGTAAGATCTATGACATTTCAGGCTAAAACCGGTAACTTTTCAAGGTTTTCTTACCTTTTCTGGGTTCTTCGAAACCCTAACTTTAAAGATTTTTCCGATCCCTTTTAGATCTGTCTTAGATCTGTGTATATTATGAGCTTTTGGTGTTTTCCTCAAAGGTTTTTCTCGATTTCTTTTCAAAGTGACTTTTCGTCTTCAAGACTAGGGTTTCTTAACCCCTTTTTTTAATGACTTCTCCTCTGATTTTTACTACTATCATATGATTTTACTATGTTTAAACGGTTTATTTATGTTTTTCTTCTACCTGATTCATCACTTGAAAACCCTAATTATTTTGATTTTATCCGGGGTTCTGGAACTGTCTTTGTTTATTTGATTTATATGTATACCTGTTTCGATCGATTTCTTTATGGTTAGACCCTTTTCTTTGTTTATCTTGATCGATTCTAAGTTCTTACCGCTTATAACTCAACTCTGTTAAAAACCCTAATTTTTTAAAGATTTTCTTCACTTGTTACTGTGAGTTTTAAAGACTTTCTTTACTTGTTCTAGGTGTTGGCCTGATCTTCTTTACCTATTGTTGTATGTTAGATTGGGTTCTTCACTCTGGTTCTATGTGTTAGCCATGACTACTTGAATTAGTTAAGTTTTTGTTGATTACCATGCTTCGAGTTAGGTTCCTTTTGCTACTGAGTCCTTAGCCTACTCGTGTCACTTCTATATGATTGTGTTCATCTAGTTTGTTTATCTCTTGCTTCTTTTTGTTGATATGGCTGACCTTGCATGTTTGATACACCTATTCATTCTTCTCTATTTATATGTCGAAGTGCAGAATCATGACTCCCTCTTGATTGAACCTAATTTCCTTAAATTACGGTTTGATTGCAAGGTTTTCTTATAAACCCCTAAAATTTTACTTGTTTGTTTAAGTTGATTGATTCATTCCCTTATTTGTTGTGGTGCTTCATTCTTGATGAATCCTTTCCTCAAATTAGTATATTCTGTACTTAGACTCAATCATATGCTTTATACTTTTACTACCCCTTATATGGTAAAAAACAATCTTTCTCAACTGATTTTCTTTCTTAGTTATCCCTGTTAGTATCCGTTTAAGCTGTAATTCCTTGATTAAAGGGAAGTACTTATATTAATTGGATTCTAATCGTGATTACTTCCATAATTGTGCTAAACCTTTACTTGTTACCTTATTTTCTACCTATTTTCAAAGCTATAAATACCCTAGGTTTTTCATTAACAAGACAGGACTTGGATTTCAAAAACCCCTCTCTTATTTAAAAAAAAATCTGTGTTATTCTACTACTATTGGCCGGCTGCAAGCCAAGGTTAATCATCTGTAAGCCTTGGTTCTTTTATTTGTTTACCTTCATCTTCACTGGTATGTTCTAGCTTAAATTAAAGCTTCAACAACAATATGTTTCTATTCCTGCTTTAGTTTCTTTTATTTCTGGACTGCTTTTACTTGGGTTTTGTTGTAAAGTTTGTATCTAAGCATGTTGATATGATTCCCCTCCCTTTAAATTCATATGATTCGAGCATGCCTGGACGATTGTATTCTTTTACCTACTTTGCACTTACCATTTTGTGAATCCAAAATCCTCAATCCCTCCTCTATGTGTTTCATGACTAGTTTGGGATTATGCTAGTGTCCAACTATCTTTGAGCATGTCCCTACCAGTCCTAATATTCCTGCTGAGGTCAGGTGTCTGTAGTAAATATATATGTATCCCCAAACCCCCTTTTACCCTCATGTGTGATTAATTCATTCACCTGTTGTGTGTGGCCTCACCCTGAAGTGTTTAAACTCCGTCTTACTAATACAACTTCTTTCAACCATCTCTATTACTGATTGCTTTCAAGATGGACCTACTAGTCCAGTTTTTAAACAAAATCCCTTCAAACATGCGTCCTGCACTTTCACTATACTCTTAGACCACTAGGTTCTGCCCCTTTTATGTGAGCCTTGCCTTGGGACCCTTGAGCTCCATATAAACTTGGACACATAAAAGCTTGCCTTTCCACACTGTACTTACTCCGTCTTGGCTATGAAATCCGGGTGTGAGCACTGCCCGGGATCCCTTGAGGTCCTTAGGGAACTCTAACACACCTAGATATGAGGAAAAGCTATGAAAGAATCTTGGCACTTGAGGTGATTGATTACATAACTCAGAGAGGAAGTCCTAAGCAGGCTTCATATAATGTAACTTCTTATTTTCATTCCTACTTATGTAATTCGTTTCAATGTTGGTCTGTAATAACTTGTTGTAAACAAGTATTGGGGTTGGCTAGTAAAAAGGGATGGGGTAAATATGCATGTTATAGTTGTTAAGGGGTAGAAAACATGTTAGGTTTATATTCCTAATTGTGTAATAGAAACCATGCTTAGGGTTCATACATGCATTAGAAATCATGCTCTTAGGTCCCATGTTTCTTGCTTCAGCATTTCATCCGTCACTAATCCATGTTTTATGTCTATCACTTAGAAATCCTGCTCCTTGGACGATAAAAACATTGGAATAAAAGCTATTACTCTTGTACTTTCAAAAGTCGTATTCTGCAACTCCTGTGCGCATTTAGCAATCATGCCTTAGGGATTCTGTTTTTCAACAACCCTACCATTTGCATGTACATATTAGATATCATGTTCTAGCATCCTATTTGCATTTTGTTTAAGTCGCCTAGTTAATTACTGATCCCTGAAAAGGTAATAATAATAATCTTGCCTTGTGATGTTTTCTGAATATAACTGGTAATAATCTCTGCATTCATATCAACTAGAATAGCATGCTCTTAGGTAATAACTTTAAATAAAACCAGAACCGTCTCTGTGATTAGTATTTAATTATCAACTGTTAAAATCAGTAGGCAAGCCTGATTCGAACTTCTTTTCTAAGTCATGTAATAAATCTGGTTCTGCTGTTATCACTTAGATACCATGCATAGGATTTAAATTCAGACTTTAATTGTGTATGAGTCATGATGTCTATGTGCATTATCTGTGGAGGTATATTTGAGCTTTTCGTTTGTCTTTCATGCTCCCTTTAATTGAAGTCCTACTTGTTATTGTGTGTCGCCTTAGTATATTGCCTTTAAATCTGAGGGTCTGCCTAGAACCTTGTTTTTATAGGATAGGAGTCCTAAATTCCTCCGGGACTGATAGGAAGGGACGGGTAACAGCATGCAATAGGGGTCGATACCAACCCTCGCTTTAATTACCTTCACGGGGCGGGAAAGGATAGATATGGATATGATGACTGGTGCGTTAATACCACGTGTAGCCCCTCTTTGAAGAGTGTCATACCGGGTATTGCATTGATGTGATCCATATTACAAACAAACCTAGGACACCCCCTTTACATTCATAAGCATGCTTTAGATTGTAATTCTTTTTAAATTTTCTCCTTTCGCTCATTGTTTTCAAACGCTTGTGTATTTAAACTTAAATCCCTACTATTTGAGCCATACTTGTTTATTTACTAATTGCACAAATTCACAAAAAACTATCTGGCCGGGAACCACATTAGTGGATCCTGAGAGGTGTCTAACACCTTTCCCTTAGGATAATTTCAAGCATGTACCCTATCTCTGGTTACCAAATGTAGTTATAAATGAATCCTATAGGTGACCTAACGCACCTTAAAATCATTAGGTGGCGACTCTCCAAAAAAGCGACCCCCTTCCCAAAAGGAAAGAGTTGTCCCATACCAAATGTCATGAACCCGATTTTCGCGGAGGGAAAGGAGGCGCGACACCTTTACTATGAGAGTTTCATCAAAGAGGGGCCTCTTATATTTACGGCGCTCTTGAAGAAAATATCTCTTGTTCATTCCGCACAAGCATTTGAAGGTTTTTCTTAACTTTCAAATGATAAATTTAGCTCATCGTTTGGACAAGAAACAAGATAAAAACAAAAGAACTTTATTGTATTCCTTCCATCTTTAAAAGTACATAAGTATTTGATTGCTAAAAATATTATGAATACATGTGGCAAACTTGTACAACTTGTTTCAACGGGGCTGGTCGTGTAGTTTCCGGTCCAGATGAGATATTATTGTTCCCGGGTCTCGTAGTCTCGGTTTTTGTGCAAATTATATTGTCGTATTCTCATATTATTCCCCTTCTAGTGTTCAAATGCGAAGTATGTGAATTGGAACACTAGAATTCTTTCTCCTTTGACAAAAAAATACTTGTGAACAGTTAATAATATTTTGTTCGATGGTATGTTTTGTGGCTTGTTGTTCCAGTGCCTAGACATTTAAAGATCTTAGCTTTGCCGATGATGCTCCCTTCGTAGTATATTTTTCGTTCCTGCCTCATTAAAAACCTTGCCAGAAAAATCTGATTGGGACAAAAACTGGTCAAAGAAAAAAAGAGGGCAGCACATACTTTTAGTAAAATTAGGATCCATCAACAGTAAGACATTTTGAGGTGAGTCACGTTCCATTTGTGTGGCAATTTTTCTCCATCTTAATTTTCCAGCTCTTATGATCCCTTACCAATGACAGTTGAAACCCAGTAGGGGCCTTCCCACGTCGGACCTAGCTTTTCAGTGTTGATTTCCCAAGTGTTCTGAGTCACTTTTCTCAAAACCAAGTCTCCTACTTTAAAGTTGCGGGGATTGGCCCTCCGATTATAGTATCCTTCCATCCTTTGTTTCTGAGCTACCATCCTCAAGTGTGTTAAGTCCCTGCGTTCGTCGAGTAGTTCCAGCTTTACCAGCAATGGCTCATTATTTGTGTTCTCATCTGTTCGGAAGAATCGTAAGGTTGGTTTTCCTACTTCCACTAGGATTAGGCTTTTGCATCGTATACAAGAGAGAGAGGTGTCTCTCCCGTGCTTGATTTTGTCGTTGTCCGGTACGCCCATCGCATGATCGGTAAATCTTTCGGCCACTTGCCTTTAGCTGCTTCTAACCTCTTTTTGAGGTTTTGAATAATCACCTTATTGGTTGATTCCGCCTGCCCATTGGAAAAATAAGATTAAAAATAAGACTTAGCGTTAAAACCAAAGGACATGGCAGGTCTAGCTCTGGGAGCGGTGCTTCCGAGGACAGAAATAAGAGCAATATAAAACAAAAAAGTAAAGTTGTATTATTTAGCTTGAGAATAGAATATAACATAAGTTTTTGCCAGAGATTTCGTGTCCTTACAATGGCTGTTGAAGCTACTATTTATAGCTATACCTAGTAAACAAAATCCTGAGGTCAAGCCCCTCTTAAATGGCAATAAAGGAGGCCATTGATAAATATGTAACGACATGCAATGAATATAAAAGTTCTCTGCAACAGCTGTTTATTTAATACTAGGGAATATTCTTCATTAAATGTCATCTGGTGACAAACATTCAACCCACTCACGTTTGATCGTGTTTCCCTCGAGATTTATCCGGTGTCAACTACAACTGTTATTTCTGGTCTTGGTTCTCATTCGATTTGTCTTCCATCTGTCTTTGATTCCACGCATCATGCTATCATTCGATCATTCAATGCGAACCAATTTTACCGTATAGAGTTGTAAAACTTATTCCTTCCCTTTTGAGTGGGAACGATAAACTTCTTAACCTCCTTTTTCTCAGAGCCAGAGAATATAAGGTTCAATAAAGAAGTAATGTTGTTATAGACCTGTATATTTTTTAAGGTTTAATAAATGAAACATGAACCACCTTTTTGCCGGTTGCTAAGAAGTTGGCTCGGACTTTGTAGTATCGTTGAGAAGATGCCTATATGGACGACAAGTTAACATACTCCGATCGATGATACTTTTAATATTTGCCCTTAATACATACTTCATTAAATCCCATGCTGTGGCAGGATCAGAATTTTCATTAAGAGAGGGAGGAAAGGGAGGGGTCAAAATATAAAGAAGTAAACCCATAAAAAACTATAGAATGTCAATATATAATGTATAAATATTAATAGAAAAATTTACCTAGCTACACAGCAAAATTTTATGACGAATGAATATCGATTGATACCCCTTGAATACATGTGTTTACGCCACTGGTCTCACACACCACAATAATTAATACCGGTGCATTTGAAATGGGTAACAAAATCACCTAAGGCCTAAGGGTAATATCACTTTAATTTTGACTTGTCATCAAAAAGACTTCGTTGATGACCTTAGCTTCTTCTGTACTCCACCCACAGCCCACGCACTTCATTTTCTTTTTCTTATATCTTGAGTCTTTCCTCATGCACTCACGTTCAAAGTTGATAAAAGAGTCAGTTGATTGAATTTGTATTAATTTCCTTCTATAATTTTCTTAGATTTTTTTAGTGAAACACGTCATATTCCTATGCAAGTTGTATAGTTATCAAAACTACAAGTACTACGTAACATTCATGCGATACCATTTACTATGTCATTACCACTAAACTTTTTTGTGCATGGCCCTGTTAATAAAGATTGGAGTATTCAGCGATATTTAGAAAAAGAGTTTCACTCAACGATATCTCAAAATATATTTAAGAATAGTATAAGTTTTAATTTTTTGAAATAAATTTAGGGTGACTGGGGCACACAAGTCCTAAAGATTAATTAATCAAAGTAATGCAAACTGCAGTACTAATCACCGAGAAAATGAAAGACTTGGATACTTGTCTTGACTCGTTCCTAACCAGGAAAAAAAAACAAGGTTAATAAGTCAGTTCTCATTAACTGCAATCACCATCAAGCAATTTAGAAAGTATTAAAAATTCTGTTTCCGATGAATTTTCTTTTATTGGGGCTGAAATACTCAAATTATACAGAAACTTTGGCATCGATTTATTTTTGAGTAAATTACCTCTATAAGCGCACTTCTTTACAGAACAATATTAGTATGAAGGATAAAATAAGGATGACATAATTAGGAAAAAGAGCTAGAAGGATGGATGAGGAGGAGGAAGAAGGGTCAGAGGGAACAGAAGGTTAGGGGCGGAATTAGTACTTTTGATGCGGAGAATAAATTTATGTATGATAATCCACTGAAATTGCGACAAAACAAACAGTGGATACGAACTCATAGGAAGGTTTCATTTTGCTATAGCGTATTTATAAATCATCTTACTCATTGAAGAAAAACGAGTCTATTTTTCTGCATACCGCCTTCCACAAGAAAGTTTAATGTAATTCCTTACCCATCATTAATGTCAATTTGCTGATGAGACAGCGGCAACGGTTTCATATATTGTCAGCTGTCAATTCCTGCATTTATGTTTCAAATTATGATCTTACCTTTCAAATTGGGTTCACTTGACCTTAAAACTTGCGAACCTTCGCAGAAATAATTGTCTTGTAATGATTATGTTTCAATCTCAGGTTATATAAATTCTCACTTGTTTCTTTAAAATCAACTCATACCATCGTACAAAAATAAAATAAAATTGAAAGTAAAATATAAGTTTAGAATAATAAAAATAATAATAATAATAATAATAATAATGATGATAATTTGTTAACAAGTGTAAAACTTATTCCCAATTAATAGCTATCGCCTATATGGATCTTTTTCTTCCAATTATTTTGCTTTATCATTAGTTAAGTCTGCATTGACTCCAAGGATTTATAGGTCTTTCGAGACAACTTCTTTTCATGTAATTTAGATCTATCTCTGTAACGATCCAGCCGGTCGCTATGAGCATTTGCATTTCCGTTCAGCTATTTGAAATCTTGAGCAGTATTGTATGATGTATTATGACTTGTGTGACTCATCGATTTTGATTTTCAGGTTATTCGGAATTGATTTGGAAAAAATGAATTTCATAATCGAAGCTTTAAAGTTGGAAGAGTTGACCAAGTTTGACTTTAGAGTATTTGACCTCGGATCGGAGTTTAGATGATTCTGTCAAGTTCGGATGGTGATTTTGGACTCGGGCATATGCCCGGATTTGCATTTGGATATTTCTAGAAGGTTTCGGTACTAATAGGCGAAAGATGGAAATTTAAAGGTTTGGAAAGTTCATAAGTTTGACCGAGAATTGACTTTGAGGATATCACATTTGGATTGTGGTTCCGGAAATTGGAATAGCTTCGTTATCATTTGGGACTTGTGTGCAAAATTTGAGTTCATTCAGAGTTGATTGTTATGCTTCGACACGAGTTTTGGAAGTTGAAAGTTCATTAAGTTTGATTTGAGATGTGATTCGTCGTTTCGGTGTTGTTACGCGTGATTTGAGGCCTCGAGTAAGTCCGTGTTAGGATATGGTACTTGTTGGTATGTTCGGATGGGGTCTCGAAGGGCTAAGGCGTGTTTCAGATTTATTTCGGGCCATTTTTCTTCATGTTCTCACTGTTGGTTGCTGCTGATTTCTGGTGTTTCAAACCTCCTTCGCGATCATGAAGATTGGGCCGCGATCGCGTAGATTATTAGAGGAGCTGGTATTTTTCCTTCATCGCGTTCGCAAAAGTTGTATCGCATTCACGTACCTTTGTGAGGCCTAGGCATCTCCTTCGCGTCCTTATGTTTGTGTTCGCGTAGAGCAGAGATGAGAAGCTGAGGGCTGGGGAGGATGCCTTCGCGTTCGCGAAGTAGTTGATGCGATAGTGTAAGGGGAGCTATTGTGAATCACATTCGCGAGGTCTATGTTGCGAACGCGTAGAGGATTTTTAGTGGCAGTTGCTTTTGTTCTTCGCGATCGCAAAGGTTGTTCCGACATTGCATAGGGTAATTCTGGGCAGTGCATTTTTCTTCTCTGCGATCGCGATCCATTAATTCGTCCAGTGATTATAAGTACTCTATTTTTGGGGGTTTCAGCCATTTAGCATATTTGGAGCTATGGAGATAGGAATCAAGCAATTGTTTAGGCGATTGTTACCATGTGGATTAGGGTAAGTGTTCTCTACTTGGTTTTAATTATATTTCACGAATCTATCCTCGTATTTGATATTTGGTTGATGATTTCAAAAGAAGAATTGGGGTTTTTGTCTAAAGCTTCATATAGTGAATTTTTAAGTTTTGAACATCGATATGGAGTCGAATTTGAGTAAAACTAGTATGATTGGTCTCGTAATCGAATGGGTTGTCGGATTTTATAAGTTTTATCAGATTCCGAGGTGCAAGCACGGGTTTGACTTTTTGGTTGATTTTGGGTTTTTGATTAAAGATTCTACCTTTATCGATTGGGTTTGTTTCCTTAGGCATTATTTGATGTATTTGAGTTGCTTTTGGCTAGTTTTGAGCCGTTCGGAGGTCGGTACGCGCATGATGACATTTTTGGAGTATTGCTTGGCTTGCTCGGTACTGAATTTGGCTTGTACGAGGTAAGTAACACTTCTAAACTTGGTGTTGAGGGTATGAACCCCTGAATATATGTGTTATGGGTTGGTGTTGAGGTGATGCACATGCTTGGTGACGGGCTTGTGGGCATGCATCGTGTGAATTATGACTCGGTTGTTTCTGTGGTACTATATAACAACCTAATCCTATTTTTATCCATGAAATCTCTACGTGCTAGAGTAATTGAGTGGTGATCCCTGTTAGAAACCATGTTTAAGCTACATGTTTATTCTATTGGGATCCACCGAGGGCATGTCTGTTGTTGAGTTATTTGCTTAAATTGCAGTTACATACTCAGTCATACTCATTCATTGGCATATCATATCTCAGTCTCTGTTGCTATTTATTGATACATCATATCATCATTTTTGGCTGATTTTCATGACATTGTGAGCCCGAGAGACTGGAGAGATTGATCACTGAGTGAAACCGAGGGCCCAATTGTGAGGATATTTATGGGATCGGGTTGCACCCTACAGCAGGCTTTATGGATTCATGTCATGATTGGTTTATTGCAGCGCTTGGGCTAGATCTTCCCCTCCGGAGTCCGCACACCCACATGAGCATAGGTACCTACTGAGTGCGAGTGCCGAGCGCAAGTGCCGAGCGCGAGTGCCGAGTGATTGGGAGAATTGAGTGACTGTGAGGACTGAGTGACTGGGAGGACTAAGTAAATTGATACTCCGAGAGTATGCATATGGTTTTATCACTATGTTGCATCACAGTTGACATGTACACTTGACATACAGGCATAGAGATGCATTTTTCTCATGTTGTACCGATATTGCGTCATTCATGAGTTCACATACACATTGACATGTAGGCATAGAGATGTACTTTTCTCATGCCATTTGATAATGAAACATCTTACCTGTTTTCGAAAGTTTTTGGAAAAAAATCATAGTTTTTTCGATTTACTCACATTTTGGTGATTTCAGTAAAATATTTGGATTTTCAGTGTTATACTTAAAAGTATGCCTATTTTCCGGAGCTGTGAACGAGCTGAGCATTATATATCTGAGTTATTTCTTTTATCACTTTTATTATATTGTTATGAACTATTGTTGGCTACTAGTGTTGGACTCCGACCTTTATCCCAGCTCGTCACTACTTTCAACCTAAGGTTAGGTTTGTTACTGATTGAGTACATGGAGTCGATTGTACTCATACTACATTTCTGCATTTTGCGTGAAAATTTTTGATGTTGATGTTGCTATGTATGGCGGGAGCTGACATTGAAGACGTACTTGTGTTCCGGTCATTGCTGCCTTTTGTTCTTGGTAGATTTGAATTATTAATTTCAAATATATGATGTATTTATTTCATACCAGCATTATCAACTCTAAATCTTAGAAGCTCGTGATTTGTACTACCAGTCCTTGGGAATTCTTTGTATAAAAGTACAGTTGTATCATCATTACTTCTCTTAATGAATGTCATTGGAATTGGTTTATTGTTAATTGGTTTACCTAATAGGTTAGGATTAGGCGCCATCACGACTAGTTGGATTTTGGGTCGTGACAATCTCGTTCTCTTTTAATAGCTTCACGTACCATAATTTCACACCTACAAATTGGTGCATTTGTAGATCAACAAAGGATGTGACCAAACCATCTGAATCGACCTTCTCTAATTTTCTTCTTAATGTGTGCTACATGCAACTTATAACGAATGTGGCGGTATTTAATCTTATCTAATCTGCAATAATCACCTCGTGGATATGTTGGACTTGCAAGCCAACATTCACTACCATGTAACATTGTCGATCTTATAGCTGTTCTATAAAACTTACCTTTCACTTAGGTAGGCGTCCTTTTATCACATAACAAGTGGTAGCACTTCTCCATTTCAACCATCAGGTTTTAATCCTTCAAGTAACATATTCATCTTATATTCCTTTCTCTTGAAACAATGAGCCTAAATATCTAAACTATTTGTATTTTAATACAGTGATCTAATATTGCAAGCTTGTGCTCTAGTAGCAATAATGGTGGCAATGACTCAGCATAAGCTACTCTCCTTACTCTTCTCTCACCTTTGGCTCTTCGCTTCATCTTTTCCACCTCCTTCCCCCTCAAATCGTTTTCACTATACAATTCCTATTTTATCTCTCATAAAATGAACTTTAATACGATATTGCAAAGACGTGAATAGATTAAGGGGTAAATCATAAAAATGAAAGGGTATGATGCAAATCAAAAAAGGTGTATATTAAGGGTGCGAAATGCAAAGCACTCTAACTATTGTGTATAATTCCATTATGTATGGGGTATAAGGTTTGATTCTGAAATTAGTCGTCGTACATAATGATTTAAATTTCGATAAATTTACCGTGAAATGAAAAAAAAAAATTGAAATTAAAAATGAGAAATTCCTACATTTTAAAACTATTTCACTCATTCCAATTTATGTGACATTTCTTCATTTGAAACATACAATAGAAAAGATTGAACACCGTTCCATTCATGTATCGACAACTTTCACATATTTTCTCCCGTCTTGCTTCCTCTTAAGGTGATCGAGTCTTTCTCATATATAAATTTCGCCTTTAGTAGTACGCCAGAAAAAGTGTAGGGACCTTTTCAGTATTAGCAACTGAGAAAAATTAACTTTGTGTATCAATTAAATATATAGATCCAAGAATACGTCAAAATCAGTTAAAAGTCATAAGTTAATTACTAGTAATAGTTTATGAATTTTCAGCTTACAATCACTTCTTTTTATATTTTATTCCTCATTTTGTTTTTTGGTAATCATCCAACACCTCTCCTTTCCATTTAGCATTAGCTCTTACCTGGATTTCTTCCTATTTCCACTTAGTCGACTCTCAATTTCCAACTTTGGGCCCAACTTTTGATGCTAGAATTGCCATACTTGGTCCAGACATCAAGTCAAGTCAAACTCCGGTTAGTGGAAACGGATTTGTGAATGACAATTAAAGAAATACAACGACTGGGACTGTCGATCATCAATGTAAGGTAGTAAAGCTGTAGCATGAAGGCCCATAAGCTAAAGTCCATTTTTCTTTGATGTTTAAGTATAGGGAAAATATAGCAAATATATATACTGTATTTATCATTCATAGTTATATTTGAATTTTGTAGCAAATTCACTTGTAGTACTGAAACAAGAGATCAATTATTTTGAACTGAAATAAAGGAACAACAAGCTCTTGTAACTCAATTGGTTAGAGTATCTTCTTATTAAAAGGAGGTCTTGAGTTTGACTCTCGACAAGAGCATTATTTTTCTGTATTTCTATATTTCGCCTTGTTTGTATTCGACATAATTTGTATTCATTGCGCATATGAACACAAGTGATACAAGCTGGTATAGGAAAAATAGGCAGATCCATAATTTTAAAACCATGGGTGCACTGTTGACTTTATTGTAAATTTGATGCTTATTATAATGTCAAAATGATACACAAAATTATTATTTTATTATTAACTTTTCACAATATTATCCAAAGTAATAACTATAATATTGTTAATCTACATTTGTGTCTTTCATCAATATTATCAGCAAAATTATCGAGTGATATTTGTCTTAAACTTTATTTAGCTTTTACCGTCAAAATTCAGAAAAAAGAGGAAAAGTACAATGTTAATAAGATTTAAGGGTGTATTTGTGCAAGTAACTTTAGAGTAAAAAGAAGCACGAAAATAAAAAGGCCTTAGATTATATGATTAACTAGGTAAATTGCCGGCGCTTCGCGCGTTCGTGAATGTCGTCATTCAATCGCACTCCTTTAATTATATTGTCATACAATGTCTCCTGGCAGGCATTGGACATGTACAAAATAATTTAAGAATACTTGAGAATCATGATCGCACATAAGAAATAAAATAATAAATTTGAATCGTGTTACATAGTGAACATATTAGATAATTATACACCAATAGTATAACTAATTTCTTTTGTACTTGAAAGTTTGCTAAATAAAACAGTAAAGAAATTTACCTTCCCTTCAACAAAACGTTTTGTTTCAATGTTATCCTTAACCTTTCTTTTTCCCTGCATAACCAACGAAAATAAAGCATATTTTCAGTGTACATATACATTTGGATTTCCATTTAAACAATCTATATCACAATACCTTTATTTTTTTCTTTCCTTGTTGTGTATTGCAATTCCAAATTCTCATCTGGAATAAACAACTTAGATACGGTATAATTTTCAAACCCCTCTTTAATATTGTAATTGTTTAATCGTAGCTTGAAAATAAATTCCTTGCCGCAAAGGCATTGGATTTGTGGAGGTACATTATTCCAGCATATGAAAAAAATCTAATTAGTACAAACATCTTGAAGAATTGTAATTTTAATTACAAAGAAGTAGAAATAGGGAAATAACATGTATTTCGGCACTGTATTCGGACTCCAACAACTTGGTAACGTTCATCCTGTTCATAAACATCTCTTCCTCTATGGGAATGTTATTGACATGAGAGCTTCCGATAGTTTGTGCACCAAAAAATGTATGACCAAACGTTTGAATCAAAGTTGTTATGTAATCTATTTCTAGATTTACATATATTTTGCTTGCGTATATCGTGGCGAAAGTAACCTCACCTGTAAATAGTGAATGCACTTTTAAAACAAACTTTAATGTATATTCAGAATATCAGTAATAAATTACATAGGAATGATTGATTAACATAAAAAATTACCATGGAATTGTTTAACTGTTGTAGGAGTAACTATGACAACCTACGGGCCAAAGTCGTTGTATAGAAATGGTTTGAACTTCTCTCCAAATTCTTCGTACAAAGTTCTTTTGATTTTGCAGAAATTTAATTGAGTAACAATCCATATGATTCATCTAATATGTAATCTAAAAATATATGCATAAACAACTTGGATGACAAAATAAAAGTACACAATAAATCTGGTTTTACGAAGTTAACCAAGTAATAAAATGTAAGAAGAGATGAAGAAATGACTGGCTGCTTAACAAAAGAAAGGAAGATACACCTAAATGTATTTCAAAAAATCTAAGAAGAGATGAAGAAATGACTGGCTGCTTAACAAAAGAAAGGAAGATACACCTAAATGTATTTCAAAAAATCTAAGAAGAGATGAAGAAATGACTTGCTTCTTAACAAAAGAAAGGGAGAAATACCTAAATGTATTTCAAATAGAACAAAAATGAATACTAACATCAGTTATACACCAATAGTATCTTTTGTAAAATCTTCCAATTCATTACAGTAAATACAAAATATATGAATACTAACATCAGTTGTGTATTAATTATTGCATAGCCTTCTCGGAAAAGTAATAATCTGCATTTTTGGATGGCTTAAGCACAACTGAAGCAGCAGGTTTAATATCGTCATCGGTATTGAGAGCTCATTCCAGCATGAATTATCAATGGTAAAGTTAGTTATCCTGAAGCACAAACAATTTGAAATAATTGTAATGAAGTAACTATTTGTAAGATTGTATAAAGGTCATGTCACAATTTGGAAAAGACTAAGAAATACCTCGCGTGTCTCAGCAACCATAGGACGTATATTTTGGAATACCTCTTTGTAAACAATATTTTTAATGAATGTAGGATTTTCTGTGTCCTCGTCAGCATTTAGTATGGTTAATCCCTCTCTTGTTGTTACTCGGGAGACAGCCACATATAATTGACCATGGGTGAATACTTGTTTCGGAAGATACAAGCCGACATGGTTAAGAGACTGTCCTTGACTTTTATTGATTGTCATGGAAAAACATGGCGCCAAAGGGAGCTGCCTTCTGTTAAGCTTGAATGGCCACTTTGAATCGTTGGGAGACATTATGATTCTTGGAATTGTGACGCTGGAACCATTGTTCTTTCCGGACATGATGTTTGCGCTGACAGACCAATTTCCAAGATGCCTGACAATTAATCTTGTTCCGTTGCATAGGCCTTCTGTTTGGTTTAGATTTCTGAGAAGCATAACTGGGATACCTACTTTTAAGTGTATGTCATGATTAGGGATGCCAGGGAATGTTAAGCTATTTAGAAATTCGGTTGGGTACAACAGTTCTTCATCGTTAGTGTTCATGCTCGCTTTGCATACATTGTCAGAGCTGAAATATGTTCTTCCTTCACCTGGTATCATTTTCAGAATTCTATCGTTCAACTCATGTACCATATCATTTTTTGGCGTTAGTATTGCTCTTTCTTTCAGATATGTTAGGTCACTGTAATTTTGTAGGAGACATGGATAAACTGCCTCAACATGTTAGATGATTTCATGCGTATTCAGGAGGCAATTTGATTAGCTCCTTGTTAATATCGTCGTAAAATGATCCATTTCCAACCTGTAGCAACCATTTGTCAAAAGTAGCAGTTTGGTCAGCCTCGCAATCACTTACTTTTCCATTGCATAGTCTCATATTTTGCTTCAGTTCATATATTGTGAAAAATGGCCACAAATAAGAGGAGTTTAGTGATGCATCAACAATATCAGCTCGGGTACCCTTTGAAATAACTAGTAATATTTGGCGAAAATCACCACCACATACAACTGTAAGGCCTCCAAAAGGTTTGTCGGAGCTATTTTCATACCTCACTCGCATGATATCTCTCAACGTCTTATCTAATGCTTCAAAACATAACTTATTTGCCATGGGGGATTCATCCCAAATAATTAAAGAAGTTCTGTTGAGAAGTTCAGCTAACTGGGTGCCTTGTTTTATTTCACAAGTGGATTCTACAGTAACGTCCAAAGGAATATGGAAGCGCGAATGAGCGGTCCTACCATTTGGCAATAACAAAGCTGCAATTCCAGAAGTAGCAACGGGGAGAACTATTTTTGATTGTGATCTGAGGTTGGAAATTATTGTATTCCATAGAAATGTCTTGCTAGTACCACCATGTCCATTTATAAAAAATAATCGTCCTTGTTCATTCTCAACTGATGTTATTATTGCATCATAAGCTAACTTTTGGCAATCATTTAAGAGAGCGAATGATTTGTAGTGCAGTATTTTGAGCTCCTCTTTGTCATAGTCTAGCTCCTCATTGAGCAGACGGCTTCCCACATTTCGCAGTAACGTAGAATCTGGTAGCGGCATTCCATCTATGTCTTTCAAACTTTTTCCCATCTTTAATAGGATGGTTTCAATCTCAAATAATGTATATGCTTCTACTTGTTTTTCAGTTAACTGTAAATATTTCAATTGAAATCTATTTCTCTGTAATGATGTTATATCTTTTGATAAAATTCCACAGTTGTTCTTCCAAAATTTGCTTGAATCAGATACCTGACAGTAAATAAGTATCGTTACAAATAGATGTCTCAACTCATTTCCTGTCTCCCAAAGTGCAGCCTCGGCTAAGCAGTCATTCCACTCTTTATCATCATCTAATAATCCTAACGCGTAGCATGCATCTCTATAATTTTTATACTCCACTCCGTTTATTGTTCTGATGCTTTCATAGGAAGTGCTTCCTTTCACAAAGTTAAGCAGCATTCTCATATAAAAACATTCTCCACTTGCAGGATGTGCGAAGTAAATTCTACCAACTGCCTTCCCACTTTGCCTTCTATTCCAAGTTTTGTCCTTTGCATTCTAGACCCAACGCGTAGGAAAGTCCGAATATGTTAGCTCTCGTGCATCGTCATATCTTTTGTTCGACTCAAACCATTCTGTGAATTTTGTCTTTTCTATGTCCTGTCTGCTAATCACGCTTTCTGCTCGCTTTTCTTCTTCGAATATTATTGTGTTTTGTCCCTCTAAATGAAAAGGCAGACGCTCAACTGCCGGCTTTCTATAATGTATGTCAAATTTAAAGATCCTCCAGCAAGCTTCTGTAGCTGATATCTATCTGCAGTCTAGATTTTTTTTTATCTCATCATTTTCTGCAGCAGTATTCGTAGATTCTATAGTTGCAGTTGCTCTATCAGACCCTTTATGGACATACTTGAACAAGTACTTCACAGACCTTGAGTAATTGCATAATTCGACATTTATATGTGCATCATATTTGACAAGCAAATCCCTATTGCAAGGGACAACATATCTACTGTCTAAGTTGGCGCCATTTTTCTTGACTTGAGTACTTGTGTTCCTTATCCTATAAATAGGAAATCCATCTGAATCAAAAGTTGTTCGATCATTGAATTTCTTCGGAAAATGCTTCGTGCACTTTCCTTGCCTCATACATGGGCAATGTGGATTTAATTCTCCGCAAGGTCCATGCATCATAAAGTTCTTAACAGCATTATAACCGTCAGGATCAACATCCAAATCAGGTATTTCTGCTGCTATTATTCTGTCAATATGATCTGTGGAGGGGCTTTTTAATGTGGGATGCAGGAAGAGCAATATATGCGCATGAGGTAAACCTCTCTTCTGAAACTCAATTGTATATAAACCTGTAAATGAATAGTATAAGGTTATGGTTAGGATGCAGGTACAAAAGACATGCAGTACACATTCTTTTACCAACATATGCAGAAGCTATACTATGTAATTATTCTCTGTTTTTCGGCGGTAAAAAATCTCGTGGATTAAGATTGAGATTTAATCTGACGTGTCAAAAAGGATTTGGTGATATCAATAACAACTGCTGTCTATGTGCATTTGTGCTAAAAAAAGTTATCTAAACAAACGTATGATATGTCAATGATTCTTATATGGACATTGGCAGGACGTTTAGAGGCTCATGACAATTACTCCGTTGCCAATCATGGTGAATGGGGTGCTTATGGGTAAAGATTGTATACGAACGTACAATTTAATATCTACTCTGTTTTGGTATTAAGTCCTATAGTTATGTATTACGGGTGAAATTATTTTTGAAGCTTGGATCTGTAGCTAGGGTTGCTATTCAGACTGGGATAGTTGGTATAGTTGTGTGCTCGCCAACTCCTCAAGAGCTATGTAACTTCCTTCTAACTTAGTAGTTATTCTTTTTTTTTTCTTTTTTTTTACTTGGACTTGCCATCTATGACTTTCTTTTGAAGTTATCAAATATAAGTCTAATAGAACTTGTATATATGCATATAAATACATTTCATAATAGAATTATGTAAGATCGTCTAATTCAATTTAGTGAAAATAGCATCAAGTAGCATCGTTAACAGTTCAAAATATTTTTGTTGCTTATTTTTTCAAGATCCTTTACTATTCCACACATATGTATGATGCATTATATTGTTACCAAAAGTCAGATAAGCACATTGATGTGAATGCCATGTATATTGAAATTATGTACGACTAAGTTGTTGGATTATGACGAACTTCTTAAAACTAAAGCCTTAAGCAGAGGCGGATGTAGTTAGCAACGAACGGGTTCAACTAAACCCATAACTTTCGATGCGGTGTAAAACTTTATATGTAAAAATTCACTAAAATTGCAAAAATAGAGGATATGTACCCATAACTTTAAAAGTATAATGGGTTCAATGTTAAAAATCTTAAGAGTTGAACTCATATGATTTAAATCCTGGATCTGCCTCTGGCCTTAAGGATAAACTAAGAAATTATAGTTTTCATAACAATGAGAATTGCTAACATTCAAAATACCTGTTACTAACACTTGTTTCATGCATATTTATGTTATTAGTAATGTGTGCATTATGTAGTGAATGAGTTAACTTACATGCAATTATTTTTCCAAAAGGCTGCCTTTTTTTTAGATCTTGCATTAGCTGGAACAATTTTATTTGGAAAACTCTGCATATGATATCAACCCGGTTGTCATCGCTCTCTTGTCCAATTAAACGGAGCATTTCATTTATTTCTGGCCACTTTTGGTTGCAAGTGAAAGTAATGAACAAATCTTGATATCCCGCCCACCTACAAATTGCCATTGCATCTTGATAATTTTGTACCCTATATCGAGGTCCCCCAGTGTGTGAAGAAGGCAAGATAATGGTTTTCCCTATCATTGAACAATCAGAATCACCTCGGACAATAGCATCTATCAATCCAGAAAATAGATCAGCCTTGAGTTTTTATTTATTATTCCGGATGTAACGAAATCTTTCTTCTTCAATTGCCATGTAACCATCCACGGCGTATTGCTGCAATAGTCTACCAGCTTGTAGAAGAGTGTGCGCTTCGTTAAGTCTTTGGTGTATCCTGAAGCAGTAGAACTGTCTCATTGTCAATTTTTCTCTCGCGAAAGTTTTGTTGATTACATCTGTCAAAAGAATTCCAAACCTATATCCATCTTCACCATATGGGTGTATTAATAGGTAAGTCATAGACATGAAACTTGGGTGCAAATCTGTGATTCTTTGAAGTCCGTTTTTCCGATGTTCTACTATAACATCTCGCTGAAAATTTTCATCAGTAAGATCACCAATTACTAGTCCTGCAACTTCAGAGGCTGTGGGTATATTGTATTGCCGGCCATCTCTTGTCCTATCGGATAGTAGTCGTAGACGGAAAACAGATTCAGGATGTTGTTTATATCTATCCCTTGCCATTCGAAATATTTTTGCCAAAATATTATGCTCGTCCAGCATTTCAGATAAGCCCCGAACAATTTTAGGATCAACTTCTTCATGGAGCAGACTATTCATTCTGTTATGTATCTCATTTTCAGTATCATATATATATAGCTGGGCAAAGTGTGGTTTTTTTCCACTTTCCTGTTAAATTCTCATGATTAAACTGAAAGTGTGATTGAATTCAGAGAAAAGAAGAAACAGCTTGTGAGAAGAAGAGCAGAGGAGGAAATTTTCTTCTTCGATATATCTAAAATGAACAATGTACATCATATATAACTGCTTCCTACAGTGACCAACTAACTACTGCCAACTCATGTACAGCTATACATGTATTAAACTAATGGACTAACTACGATTACATTGATCTAAATATAGTTAAGTTAAGAGCACATGTGAGCTAAGGCACTGCTTGCGTGGACACCTCCTTTACGCCCCCTCAAGCTAGGTCCACTGAAGATGTTCTTCAGTCCTAGCTTGGACACCAAATAGTCATGTTGAAATCGCACAAGGCCCTTGGTTAGCAAGTCAGCTTCCTGTTCAGCAGTAGGAACATAGACAGTACTAATCAGCCTTTGCTGAACCTTTTCTCTAATGAAATGGCAGTCAATATCAATGTGTTTCGTACGTTCATGAAAAACTGGATTCGCTGCAATTTGAATAGCGGATTTACTATCACAATATATAGG